TTTCAAGACAAAAACACTCTCTAACCTCTTCGAGCTCTTCTTCAGTAAAAAAACGTCCAAGATACTTTCTGATGACAGCCATAATAAGGAAGAAAAAGGGGAACATCGGCGCCACTGGAGTGAGTTTGATTACAAATAGAATGATCAGGCACAAAAGCTGCACAGCAGTGTAAATCAGAATTTTGTAAAGAGGAATCTGAAATGGAAAGAAAACAAAATAACAGCTTCAAATGAACATAATTAATCTGGCAACCAAGTTAACAACTGCTGCATAAAAATTATCTTAAAATTGAGAAAGAATTTCACAAAAAACTGACTACAGAAGCTGCAATGGTTTTAAGTATATTGATTATCTTTCATACCAGATTATTTAAGTACAGAGAGAGCTGTTATCTGAAGTTATCTCAATAAGAGTACTCATGACTCTGACTTATGCGTTATAGCAGCCTCTATATGATACAGATCAGGCAACACGACATCAAGCAGCCTTACGTTAGTGGAAAAAACATTGCAATTACATACCATATAAATGTATCTTTTGTTAGGGTGATATTTTCGGGGGGTGAAGAAAAGTCGCATCTGCTCCATAAATTGAATGCCACTGAACAATGAAATGAGGCCCAGATACAGAAACACCCCAAGTAGAACAGCGTACGGGATCTCTCTGATGACGTCAGACATGAAGAGGACTAAACCTACGGAATGAAAATGGATTGCCATTTCAAGGGGGCACGAGTCCATTTAATAAACGAACAATAGCGACGAAGAGAGGGCTTGGAAATAGAAGATACGTAATTCACAAATGTTCCAATTTCATTGTTTATCTTTGCAAATGAGAGAACTGACTGACAGAATTTTAATGCCTGTCAAATAAGGCCAGTCAAATCAGAAACTCTAATTGCAGAAAATTCATAGCAAGAAGCTATTTATCCTTCATATAAACATAAAAAGAATTTGAGAGGATCTCAGAATTTTCTGGATATCAAATTGCCTTCTAATCTGAAGACGTATTATTTATTGACAATTTGAGTCGATATGAAGCTTCTATACCATTCTATCAGCTACGATAACCGCCAAAGTAATCGCATTCAAATATTTTTATAACATTCTATAGGTCATCCCCCTTTCCCCTCTAAAAATGCTGTTTTGTGCAAAGTAAGAAGTTTGGTGTGGTACAATGGATTCATCTCAGGAAAAAACGACATTGAACTCTACAACGAAAATTGCTTTGGCGGAGAGGTAGGGGGTACTGTTAAAGGATATTTTTCTTCAAACAAACTCGTGGAACAGGGCGCTCCAAGGACTCTTGGGATGGATTGTACTTTGACTTTAGAGACCGATTTCCATTTGACATTTTTTGTGCGCGCGGGCGTAGCGCCCAAATTTACACATGCTCAGACTTGGGCGCTACGTCCGCGCGCACAAAAAAATGTCAAATGGAAATCGGCCTTAAAGAGAGCGCTATCTTCGACTCCAATCGCTTCTAATACTGAATACAGAATGACAACTTAAATCGAAGTGACTCACCTACTAATATATGAATAGCTACATTGGTGAGCCTTTGCTCCTTCACTTCGACTAGAAACGGACGTTCCCCAGGCGCATGACATCTACTCATAATGACCAACGCGTTGATATGCTGCACCGACCTTAAGGTGGCGGCACACATCCAAGGCAAGCCGAATACAGACGAAATTCCTGTCAGCACTCCCATCATAAACAGGTCTAAGTTGAAGCCGCCACCTTTCTTGAGTTTATTCCGCTTTTTATTGAGCAAGACTCCCGTCAGTTCAGTCTCCATGAATATCAAAATGCTGACTAAAATTGCCGGAATTACACCAAGCACAATATAGCCTAGCTCGAGTCTTTTCTTATCTCCAAGTGGATTGACGAAAAATCCACGTCGCTCTGCTTTGGTGGGTCTTAATGTCTGTGGAATGTTTATTTTTTCCGTGAATATATTGTCAGTTGTTAAATCTACACAAACCATGAATATCATTGCGATAGGCACACCAAAGTCACTCATAATCCTTCGCCATTTACTGGAGAAAAAATGACTATTTCGAAACTTGCGCAAAAAGAAGGCAATTAAGAATGTTCCAATAAGGAGGACCAAGCTCATTAGGGCAGTGTTCGGCCGCCCAACATTATTAGGTGACAGCGAAGGAGCCTCTGTGATGCTTTCATTTCTTACTAGTTCAGGTAAACTAATGTTACAAATTTGCTCTGTGTAATTTACAAAATATTTTTCTATGAGATCTGCTTGTTCTAAAGATTCATATGACAATTTTAATGGGTGTTCTTTGAAAACCTGAAAAAAACAAAACAGAATTTTAGACTGAAGTCACTATAGAAATTCGTATGTACATGAAAAACATGGTTAACTTTGCATGAAAAAATGGTTAATTTCAGCAAAGAGCAGACCAACATTCATCAAAGAGGAAATGGGACCAGTTGAAAACAAAAAAAGGAACTGTTTGCTCATTAATAAATATAGAAGCCATGGTAACGGCAATCGTAAATTCTATAGGTAGAGAGACATTTTAATAGGTACGAAAACGGTGTCAAGTATTCGTTACATATAAAACAAACTTGAATTTACGTCAAGCTCTTAAATGCTTCTCACCTTTATTAGGAAATAGACTGCTTCATAAAGAAAGAAAAATGAAATAAGAACCGAAACGACTTCTTCGGTGAATCTTGAAAAATATTCAACGAGGTAGCAACCCTCGAATGCGACAACGCCAAGCAGGATGACCAAGACCCACAGACCAATCCAGAACCGCATTGCCATAAACTCAATATTCAGCAGATTGCAAAACTGAAATCAAAATCAAAATCTAAACAGTAAAAACGAATAAGAAAAAAACAATGCCTGATTTTTCACGATAAGAGAATATACAGTGCATTTAATTTTCATAGATCTGCATACTGTAAATTCTCGAATTATCCCCTACACCCCCCCCCCCTCCCCAACTATAAACTTCCTGAATTTTAAGCCTTTAGGAGGTTAATATGAGGGCTTACGGTATTCTTAGATGGTCTGCAAAAGGTTGTTAAACGCATTGAACATTTTGTCAAACAGAGTCATGTAAACAAAAAGAATGAAAAAAATGGGAATAAAAAATTCAAACAATCTTTTGGTGGTACAAAACTTGTAAATAGCTTTGAAAAAAGCAAACATTTAGTAAACTAAAGCTTTTCGTCTGACACTCTTCAGAGTTTAAAACGTCAGAACATAGATCGAAAACTCTACGCTAAGAAATATATATACCCAGTTGTGGATCGAAATAGGCCAATCAGAAACACGAGCACATGACTGTAAAGGTTGACCAATCACAGTACAGTACAGTACAAAACAATTACAGTACAAAAAAGGCCCTTCCGTCCATTCAAAAGGACTGCGTTCCTGCCACAAAAAAAAATTTCTGTTGTGTATGAATTCACGTGCCAGTGTGATTCTGGCTACGTAGGACGCACCACCCAAAGATTGGAGGATAGGATAAAACAACACGTTCCATCTAATATTAGAAACAAAACACATCCCCAAAGAGAACAGACACCTCGGTCTTGCAAATCCAAAATTACTACTAAAACCTGCGATTCTGCTATCGGGCAGCATTTGCTAGAAAACCCAGATTGTGCAAAAAACTATAATGGCGACATGTTTCGGATTATTGGTAAAGCCCGATCGTCGTTCAACCTAGCAGTTTTAGAATCTATCTACATAAGCACGAAAAAACCGCTACTGTGTAGACAAAAGGAGTTCGTTGTCACCTTAGGACTCCATTGGTAACATTCTAATAGGCAAGCGGCACTGATTGGTCAACCTTTACAATCATGTGCTCATGTTTCTGATTGGCCTATTTCGATCCACAACTGGGTATATATATTTCTTAGCGTAGAGTTTTCGATCTATGTTCTGACGTTTTAAACTCTGAAGAGTGTCAGACGAAAAGCTTTAGTTTAATAAATGTTTGCTTTTTTCAAAGCTATTAACTTTCTTTGCAGTTTAAAGTGAGCAGACGTGAGTTGTTATGGAACACAAACAAGGGCTCTTGCAATTATCTCTAGAAATTACAATGCCAAGAAGTAGGAATTGAGTAACTTTTGATAGAATGAGAACCAAGGGAAGATTGGCCCTCTCGCCCTAATTAGTCCCCTCCTAGAGCTCTAAAGAGGAAGAAGAACTCCGTGCAAAGTCTAGCTAGTAACTTAAGCAAGCAATTTTCTTTACGATACTTTTAAAATAGACATTTACTTTTAATGTTACTGTAGAGAGTAGATTTGATGGTCTAGAGAAAGAAACATCAATTCACGGGTTTCACCATTTTTTCAAATTTGGAAGTGTCATTATATTCGATGTTGCTGACATTGTGTGTGCTTGTATGTGCTTTTTGACTTAGTGCTCTAATACATTTTTAAACCTGTTTAGGGTATGTCTGCCCAGAAGATGAAACCTGTATTATTCCATGCCCCAAGGGATCATTCTGCAGACCATACGAGCTGGTGAATGTCACTGTAAGTATTCTTGCTTTTAAAATACTCTCAACTGCAACCTGCCCCTTTTAGCCCTTTCCCCAAATTACGTCATATATGCGCGCGGGCGCAATGCATTGTTGGTTTTGTAGTCACGCATTGCCTTATAGTTTTGTTTACATTGACCTAGTAATCTTGACTGCTTTAAACATCTACAAAAATGCCATTGAAAAAGTATCAAAATGTAAGAATTGAAACTATTAAAGTTGGAAACCACCGCCTTAGTTGTTTTTCAAAACTCTTGCCCGGGCTCTGTGGCATGGAAGAAGCAGTGGAAATACCAGTATTTCCTTCTCAATAGGTTTGACCATCATGCTTCAAGCTGAAAGCTCATCTTTAGCAAACGGGGAAAGGAAATCGTAAGAAGTTTGTCTGAGCACACGTTGTTTAAAGATAGCTTTTAAAAAACAGACACTTTTAGACTTAGTAGGTCTTTTCATCTGATACTTTTCAGTGTATAAAACGTCAGAACTTGGATCGAAAACTCTTAGCTTGGAAATTACGAAATTGTGGGTCGAAATAGGCCCATCTAAGAAACGTGTCTTTCACTATACCGAGCGAATGGTGCCCATTCTTTTTATGGGTCTTAATCATCTTTTTGTAGCGAGGATACAAATCAATGTGCAAGCGCCTCGGTAAGTGCTGCAGGAGTGAGACTGGTGATACCGCCACACCAGTTCTAAATGAAGACGGAAGCTATATGTGTCCTGGCGCTTTTAAAAATGAGCCATGTCCGAGAGGATACTTCTGCGAGCAATCAACAGAGAAAATCATATGCCCTAAAGGATATTATTGCCGAGAAGGAACAACAAAAGCTTATAAGTGCCCGGTGAGTTTACAGTCAAAGTTTTGATTTGCCCAGCTGTATAAGATGAATATAACTTTTTCTAAATTTTCCCAAGTTTGTCTTCATCTATGATTTTCCCCTTCATACCTCTCCCCCGACGTTAGAAAAAAAGACGATAGAAGAGCAAAGTTAATCTGTTTTCTTTTGCTGCCAAGTTGAGCTGCAACGGAACTTCTACGTCTCTCCGAGAATACCACATCCTATTTTGCGCCCAAATTCATTATAGTATGCCAGTTTGCTGCAACGACGACGTGAGGAGATCTGGCCCGCATGAAGCAACCTGTCCCGCAAAAATATTTCTGCCCGCGGAAAAGAAATTTGCCCGCAAAAAAAAATTTCCCGAAGAAAGTATTTCGGTGTTAATAAACAACCTGGCCAGTAGAAAGTTCTGTACTCTGTTTTCTTTAAGACATTTCCTTCTAGAAAGTAGCTTGAATTTCATAAAGCAATTTGGCCGGGGAAAAGTAATTCTTCTGCCAAAGCTGTTTCCTTTCAAAAAGTTTTTATCTCGCAGAAAGTAATTATCTTCAGTGTCACTCAATCACTTATTTGTCTTCTTTTTGTCACATGCAGGCATTTTCAATATGTAAGGAGGGTGAGTCTGCACCGCTGCAAAATGCGATTGGTCCAGTTGTCACAATCGTTGTTATCATGTTCATCATTGGCACATATGCTGTTTTCGAACATTTCCGTCTGCTGAAATACTTTGCTAACCATTACTGGAGGGCGATTACAGGGGACTTGCATTACAGTGTTGAGGATGGCATAAAATATCTGATAACCACAATGGAGGATTTCGCATGCTCGACCGATGCTCAGTTGGAACCAAAAGATTACACCATAGATCTGAGTTTTTCAGACCTATCTTTGACACTGAAGGGCGTGAGTTGAATTAGAGCACTGAATTATTTTTCTGTAGATTTCTGTTGAGCAACCAAAGTAACTCATAGGGGGCGCCGGAGCCCACTTTGGAGTGAGGGGGACTCTAGACATATTGGCAAACTTTTAAGGTAGTTTTCCTCCATAATCTTTGATGCCACCACCTGATTATCATAGTTAAGCAAAAAGGTGAGGGGACTAAAGCCCCCCCCCCCCCCCCCCCCCCGGATCCGGCGTGCCTGACTGTCAGTGCCAAGGAAATAAACGAAAATAGTGTTTTTGACCCTTGTTTTACCAAAACAAAGGATCCGGACTTACTTAGACAAGAAGAGTTCGTTTCCTGTCTTTGGCTCTTTAACAAGGTAAGAGGTTAGTTGCCACCGATTAGTTAAACAACAGAGACCAATCAAAGGCGTAATTCTTCTTCCGATCTGCAACTGGATATAAATATTGTGCTTACCTTTGGTTATTAACCGACGGTGCCAAGTCCGAAGAAACATAAGTTAGAACAGTTGTTTGCAAAATATGTAAAATTTATCATGACAAAGACATTTTAGGGAGGACAAAGACAATCTTTAAAAAGTTTACATGTAATAAAGTAATTGTGATTAGTTATTTCAAGAATAACTTTGGTGATAAGATACTAAGGTGCCAAGGTTAGTAAAAGAAAAAGTTTCAAAATAAACTGGCAACGTAGCATCCTGTTGATATGTCTTCAAGAACAATTTTAGGCAAATGTCCAATGAAATTATGTTAAAAATCTCAAAGATTATGCCAATGAACGGTTTGGTTTTCGGCACATTTCAGACTCGATTGCTTAAGCACCAAAACCTTTCTTTTCAAATTTTTAGACTTAACATTTCCTTATTTTTAGAGTGGCAAACTTGTCCTCCAAGCTGTAACCGGAGAAATTCGAAGCGGCGAAGTAACTGCGATTATGGGTCCTAGTGGAGCTGGGAAAACCACATTGCTTAACGTAGTCAGTGACAAAGCTTTCTACGGGGTATGCATGCTTTGTTTTTTGCTCTTTATGTTTGATCGAAGTATAATGAGGCTGGATTTTGAATCAGCATTTAGACTATGTATATATACCATACTAGAGAGCAGATACAATCGAATATTCTCTTTGCTCAAAATAGATCAAGACGATTCAGTCAGTAGAGATTTCATTTTGACAACACAATCAAGATTCTGTACCATGAAGAAGGGAATATCTGAGACAATTGAAGCTTTCCTTTTCTGAAACTAAAAAACAAAAATATTTATGTTGCCAATTTTGTTTTGTGCTTTAACTTGGGTTTGTTTATCTTTTTTGTAAATTGGCTAAGAACAGCAAAACGTCTGGTACACTCTTTTATAAGCATCAAATAATTTCAGCCTAGGCAGAACTTTTTTGCTTGTTTTCTAAATGTTGTTCTTATCTTTTCGCACTTTTTCTTCTACGACGAAACGCTGTAAGTTTTTTTGGGACCATTAAATATAGCAGTATTCTTTCAGTTTTTCATTTGATGTCGGTCATGTTCTTATATTTTTCCAATTTTTTTTGCAAATCTTATAAAGTGTGTTATTGTAAAAGAGAATGAACTTAAACTGATTTCCTATCTGCCCTTTTATGAAATAAGAAACTAGACAAAGTTTTTTAGAAGCGAAAAACGACAAGGAAGCCATAGATCAGCACAACTGCTTCATATGCCTAAACTAAAACAGCATTTGGCATGCCCTGAATTCATTTAGCTAGTGATGGAAAGATAGATTATGTATAACAGGAATAAATCGTATCATAGAATCATCTCTAATACACCTTTATGCTTCGTTTGCGTTTATACTTTAATATAGTAAAATTGTTCAATTTCTGTGTCTATTGCCTTTCTCTGAATCAAGTGTCTCGTGAAACTGAAGCAATGCTCGCATATTCTCTCCAAGCCCAGATTCATATACAGCGTTCTACCTACATGCTTTATTTTAAACAATTGTTGTATCCCATTCTCTTACCCTTACATTCTCTTGCTCGTTCATCAATCTCTGAAGCAATTCTATAGTTAAGCGGCTCCTTGAAATTTTTCTTTTTTTGTTTTCGTAGAAAATGGAAGGAATTTTAAGAGCTAATGGTGAAGTTATCGCAAGTTTGAGAAAGTTTAAGAAAATTGTTGGGTTTGTCCCTCAAGAAGACACGATGCATCGAACACTAACTGTGACAGAGGTTTTGACCTTCCAAGCCAATCTTCGACTACCCCCTATATTTACAAAGAAGGAAATAAGCCAGAAAGTCAGCCAGGTCAGCTCATCCACTTGGTCTTTGATTCTTCTATTTAGCAGACGAAATGTACAAATTCATTCCGATGTTCTGGAATAACAACCTCAATGGTGCAAAGATTTATTTTCCATCATAAAATATCAACAAGTTCCACTTTAGGCCAAAACATAGCAATGAACATTCTTCAGTTAAGGATTTTTGAAAATCAATGAAAATATAGTGGTTTTATCCTTTCCTTTGGTGTACATAGAAGCGTTAACAGTGCCTTGAAATTTCTAACCCTGTACTGAGAGTTTCTAAACTGCTCGACAGCTTTGTACGGGATTATTTTTAAATTGTTTTTTTGTAAAAAACTGTGCATTGTAGTAATATTATTAGGCTATATACCTGAAGTGAATCAATCAACGTTTTTAGTTCATGAATTCAGGTAAATTGTTTCCCTGATAGACACGTGTTGTTTGCAAAAATTACAGCGCACGTAGCACTGGAATTGCAAAAATAAAGAAACATGTGCACCCTCATTGAAAACATGTTAACCCAATTCATTGTGCCTTCTCTGTAATGCCACCATGATATATTTTGCGCCAGTTTTGCCTGATAGAATTGTCTCACCAAAACTTAGTTCTCACTGGTCTAGATCAAATTGTCGTTATTTCTAGTGTGGTGGCAAAATGATTCTTACTTGACAGTTGTGCCAGCTAGACCATGCATTCACTCCCATTGCATGCTCAAATTCTAAAACTTTTGATTTTTCCACCCAATTTTCTCGGTTGTATAGTAAGGCAAAGGTGAACTACAGAAAGTTGAACTAGGCTAGCAAATACTTAGGTAAAGTACCAAAGCTGGTGAGGCATTTTTGATGTTTGCACAAGTATAGGCCTTCTCTTCGAGGACTTTTTTTCACCCTCCTGTTACCCCAAATTTTACCACCCCGCCTTTTGATAACTTTTACCTGATGATGAAACCCCATCGTTTAGTTTTTCCAATGTATTCATTTTTTAGACACTAAAACTCCTGGAGATATCTCATATTGCAATGTCTCACATTGGAGATGAGGTATAGTATCATTTTTGCATTTTTAATTCCTCTGCCTCAATTTTGTTGATTCGTTGTTGTTTGTTAACCCTTTGTGTACAATGTTTAATCAGCTGCCAATATTTGTACCCGAAACTTCTTATTTCATCGTTAAATATATATATATATATATATATATGCATATATGCAACTGTCTGTAGAACGGGCTGGTTTCAAGTAATTTGAGCTGGCAAATGTTTGGCTTTTGCCAGCATATTCTGTTTGACTGCAAATGAATCAAGGCTGTTATACAAATTTACGCCTCCTTGGAAAGAAAACAATATTTTGAGAGCTTCTCTCCTTCAAAACCTGTATGAAGAAACGGCAAGTAATGAGAGAAGCTGCAGGTTGCGACGAAAGATGCTTGTGTAAATATTTGTTGCTCATAGAAACACAAAGTATGCCTCCTTCTTGTTTGACTGTGGCGCGGGACTGGTTTGCCAATGCTATAAACACAACGTACCATTAGAGATCAAATATCGATGCATTTCTGTTGCTGATGATGGGTAACTCGTCCTTGTGTTTTCTGCTGTTCACAGCTCTTGATGCTTCAGCGTATACAACGCTTCTTTATAACATCATTCCTAGTTTGGTAACTATTGTGGGCCTCGCATCAAATACCACTTTTATTTACTGTATGTGGAAGACTGGTCAGACGGTCAAAATTTCAAACAAGTTCGTTATTTTGATGACTTCGTCAGATGTTGTCATCAGTATTCTACTGCCTGTTTATTTCTCGTTGGTTGCAACGAAAGACGGTGCCTTCTATTTTTGCGTGCTAAAAAAAGCAATAGAGTTCGTCTTCTTGACTGCGTGTTATTTTTCGTTCAATATTTTTTGCTGCATAACCCTGGACAGATTTCTCCATATCAAGAAGCCATTGACATACAGTGAATTCATGAATGGCTTTCGATTTAAACTCCTCGTTGCTGTTGGATTTCTTGTTGCTTTATTGACAGTCTTTGCACTTGTAATTTATCCGTCATTTCCAGTCTTGGTAGGGTCTTGTCTTTTTTCGATAATTTGCATTATAGCGATGGTTCTCGCTAACATTACGATGGCACATTCTCTCAAGTCGTACATGATAGGCAACCACACCCTCCAGATAGCCAGTCAAAGTCAGGCATCATCCACCTTCTCCGGCAATGAGGATTCAACAAAAAACGCAAGAGACAGTATAATGCAGAATTCACGCCCAGTCAAGACCCTCAGATTGCTGACCGTCGCCTTGGCTGTTTTCTACGTTCCATATGACATTTTCACGATTATCTGGACATATTATTTGGTCTACTCAGATACTGGACCCAGTCTTTCCATGAGTATTGCACTATACTGCTCAGCAATTCTTATTATGTCTAACTCATGGGTGAATGCATTTATACTGATTCATGGCAATAGTAAATGCAGAAGATACCTCAATATGAAACTCAGCAGCAATGGCAGATTGGACTCTGCTACATCTAGACAGTAATGATGCTAGTAGGAATATGAGTGCCGTGCCAATGTCTCGGATTGGAGCCTATAAAAGAATCGTTCAGAATTTTAAATCTCCATATTAAAAAACCCTGCATACTGCAAAAAGTATAGCCTAGTGATGCGTCCAAGGCAGGGATCAAAACCAAGGGCAATGATAGTCGTTGTTGTACATCGTTGCTCTGCCAACCAGTAGCGATTACTTATCCAAACCACAAGTCGTGCCACTTACCCCCACAAACCTATAGTTTTATTTGCAGCCAAAAAATTACATAATTGTGATTAGCTGTGTTAACTATTTTGCAAAATAATGAATGTTTAAAGCTACTTATTTTTGTCTTGCCTTTTTGTGTCGTGTTATCTTCACCCCTCTAAGCTTTTCATGCCTGTATTAAGTAGTTAACTAAAAGTATTATCCACGAACCATATCACTTTTTCAACTATTCACGAACCAGATTTCTTTCTCTAGGACTCACGCTAGATATTGTTCTAAAGGGGGTTTCAATGTCGCATTTGCCGACAAAGTAGGTAGACCATCCTTAACGTAGAAAAGGGTTAAATTCGAATTTAATTTATTTTCATGTTTAGGGTAATTTTCTTGACATTTAGGTTATAATTTTGATTGTCAAGTCTAAAACGAGTACAGTAATGTTTCTTAAAGAATCGATTGGACTTTCCGTGGAAGATAAGAGCAGCATCACAGGCACACATGTTAATGTAGTGCGTTAGATATGTAGCAAAAATCACTGTGATTGTGCAGATTGTGTTAAAAGTCTGAAACTTCGCATATAAGCTCTTATGGATAAAAGAAGTATTTTAAGAGTTGGAGGCAGCATGTAAAATGGTTTTGTGACGTAGTTATGACGTCATATGGAGTTTTTACTGATATGGGGGTAAACACTGGAAAGCTTCGTTCCATCTACGAATTTGTTCAAGTTAAAGAATAAGATGCAACATATTCGGCAACATTGAACGTTGAATAATATTTGAATTTTCTAAACTGCACACTTGCGCATGCGCGAGTCTCTTTTTCGTGCGATAATGAGCCTTGCCTTGACCTTATTTACGGAAGACACGTGATGCGAACAAACAGGACTTTTTGTAGAAACATTGCTTTTTTTTTTGTTCGAGATTTGTTTTGTGTGTTCTCCCGATGATACTGCTTTGTATTCATTATGCATGTTAAGTAAAAGGTGACGGCGGCATAATCGGAATCACGTCAAACGAAGTTGCACTTTCTCGATGGATGCTGGCAGGACCTTAAGTTGCAAGACTTCTACAGCAGTTCAAGAGTCAGATAGCTGCTAAAAATACAACTAAAGAGAACTTTCGGCATCGTGAAGATTCACCTGAGTTTCAAAAAAGATTTCATGATCACGTAGAAAAATTGAAAAGTGTATTTCGAGAATTTGGAAATCCGTTTTTAGAGGAATCAAGAGATTGTTTGATGATTATCAATAGCAGAGCTATGCTAGATGGAGATGCCATAAAGAATTTATACCAAGCTGAAGAGATCGGTAAAAAGCAGTTAAAAGAGTTCCTTACCGAGAGGTTAAGTCAAGCAAATGTTTCTCTTTTGGATCAAACGAAACAAATTGACAATTGTTACTACATCCCCGAAGAAATCGAGGCTTCAAGTTCAACTCTACACAATGAAGAATGATGTTTCGCTTTTTTCAAGACTTTTCATTGCTTGTCAAAATAGATACGGTGACCTCAAAGATTTCTTTTCGCACGAAAATCAAGCTAGTCCACCATCTATCTCTCTTAACGACAGGTTGAGACCCGGAAATAAAGCAGAACTGCTAAAATGCTTTGAAACAAGTACCCAGGAAAGTGGAGGATTGAACATTGATTATTCAGGGGAGATTGCAGTGGTTGACGGAGCAGCATTGATAAATTCAACAAGATCAGAGGGTAAAATGACATTTGAGTCTTACGTCAGTCAAAGGGTTCTTCCCAGATTACATAACTTTCTCTCAGGTGTCAAAAGAATGGACGTAGTCTTTGATGTGTATCATGAAAGATCATTGAAGAATACAGCAAGACTTAGTCGAGGAGAAGGAGCACGAAAACGTGTGAAAGCAAGCGATTCTGTGCCAAAGGATTGGAAGTCATTCCTTTCGAAATAGTGACAGCAAAACAGAAATGTTTTCTTACATTGCAGAATATATTCACAGTAATCTTCGACCAATCGAAAAGAATGTTATTGTAACCATAGGCGATAATGCTCTCTGTTGGCCAAATCAAGACACAACTTTGTTACATCCATGCAACCACGAGGAGGCGGACACAAGAATGTTTTTGCACCTTGCTGATGCAATTAATCGGGCGTCCTTGAGGAAGGCAGTGATTTATACGGTCGACACAGATGTAGTTGTTCTTGCTGTAAATGCTGTAGCGAGGTTAAAAGATTTGGGAATCAAGATAGCATTTGGATCGCAACAAAACTTCAAAGTAATTGATGCCAATTTGATCTTCAAATCTATTGGATACGACAAAGCAAGGGTAATAACTATGTTTCACGCTTTAACAGGATGTTATACGGTTTCATTTTTCCACAGTAAAGGCAAAAAAACCGCAATGGCAGCATGGAACATGGTCAATGATGTTAATGGGCCCTTCCTTAGGATAATGCAACAACCGGATTATATCAGAGAAGAAGACATGAACACAATTGAGCAATTCGTAGTTGTTATGTATGACAAGACAAGTCAGTCATCAAATGTAAATGAAGCACGATTGCAGCTTTTTGCGAAGAAGAGTCGATCTCTGGAAAACATACCTCCGACAAAAGCAGCCCTGGAGCAGCATGTTCGTAGAGCAGCACTTCAAGCAAATTGCTGGGAGCAAATGTTCAAACCTTCGCTGACTTTGCCGCAACCAGACAAATGTGGTTGGATAAGTGTAGATGGAACATGGCAGCCGAAATTGAGTGATCTTCCAGAGGTGGTGGAAACTTTGAGAATTCTTATAAAATGTGGATGCAAAAAGGGGTGCAAGAAAGCCTGCAAATGTGGCAGATCCCAAATGAAATGTACAGCGCTTTGTTACTGTGGAGGGGAATGCTCAGAATAAGTTACATTGTTGATTTCCAGTTACTTCAGTTGTCATAGGTGGTATTTCTCGAGAAAGTTCACGCATGCGCATTACTTTCTTTCAAATTAAGTACTTAGTTAATCAAATAAATTGTTGTTTTAAGTTTCTCATATCAATCAGGGCAATTTTTGATAGTGTGTTTTTAATCAGAATGTTTACCTTACTACTATTTCCAATTTTGTAACACGATATCCAATTCTAAGGAAATGACGTCATAAATACCTCATAAATCTATTTTTAGAATGCCTCCAACTCTTAAAATGTTTGCCTTTGTGAGATCTACTTATGTGCCAAATATCATGCTTTTAACACAAAATGCACAATTTTACCACATATTCAGTGCACTAATGGGGGCAGGTGCTGTTAAACGACCTGCTTCCACTTGACATCAATTCCTTAATGCAGGAAATTTGCATCAATCAGTTTACTAACAAACTAGCGCTAATGTCTTTGCATAAACAGTTTGCGTAAACTGTTTACTTTCAAAAGCAGCGCAATCCATGTCCGTGTTTGCCGAAAAATCTAATCAAAAGTCACTAGAAAATAACTTTGAAATATATCATACGGGAACTCGAGAAATCCCCACATCTTCAATATTATACAGATGATGTGACTGGTTTTAGATAATTGAGTACAGAGCGCGCATAAGTCTTTTGAAAGCAGGCAAGAACCTAAGTTTAGATACAACCATAATTATCTCAATTTGAACTGTAGTATTTTCTGAGTTCCATTACTCTTTGGAGCTTTAGCATCTTTTTCTCTTCTTTTCGTCACTACTCCTTTTCTGCTTACAGAATATTACTATATTTCATATTTTTATTATTTCAAGGAACAACGAGGAATATCCGGTGGTCAGCGGAAACGTGTTAATATCGGAATGGAACTTATTGCTGACCCTACCTTACTTTTCCTTGATGAACCAACCAGGTTCGTTTTTGATATGTCCCTTTCAATATGATACCACATCTGGAAAATACATCAAACCATGAAAATATATCATCCAACCATCGCCATTTTCTATAGAAAATTGATGTATTCAGAAAGTTCTTTAGTAGATTTGCTTATTTTCAAACATTTTCTGGTGGTCGGCTAAATTTACGTCAGTAATTTTTGCTCACTCAATAGAAAGTGTGACGACCTTTCATGAAAATCTTAGAAATGAAAACAATGCCAGCTCTGGGTAATAGGTCAATTCTGTTCTTCAATCTTATGATATAACCATCCTTTCTTTGCTCATGTATATGGATCAACATTTCAGCTTTCTCCGACATTAATTGCAACGTTGCCGGAACTAGCCGGAACGGAAGTCTTGCGGTTTAATGCTACTTTCTACCTGTACCTCAACGTATAACATCAATCACCTTGCCCTCTTAATGTCAGGCTTCTTGAAGTAACATTCAAAAAATCTACGTAAAATAACAAATTACTTATTTTGTTAAACCCTTTACATTGAAAGTTTATTTCTCAGGATTTTTTCAAGGTTGAGTGTTGTTTTTTCCAGTGGGCTCGATAGTACTTCAAGTTTGACTGTCCTAAATGCTCTTCGAAAAGTCGCCGAGAAAGGACGATTGACTGTCGCATGTGTTATCCATCAGCCGAGATACGAAATATTTCGTATGTATATGTGTTATGTGTGCTATATGATGCGATGTGCTTTATATTTTATATTGCGTGTTTAGATTTCTCCAATTTTTATTGCAATGTCAACTCAATGTTTTCATTATTGGAAGATATTTTGTTTTTCATTCGGCGGTTGACTGGCAAGCAATGCTTGGAGGCGATTGCTCTCCATGCCCACCCTTCCACTTTTATTGACTGGGCCTTTTTCTATTGGCCATATTATACACAGCCGCTCCCTCTTTCGTCATACTACACCTCTACAGCATCATCTCTGGATATTCGAAGCGACTTCCCCCCTTGCTTCCTATCATAATCTCAAAGATGGCTTTAGGAACTCTCTCCTCTGCCTATATTTCACACAGCAAGAATCTGTAGGAAGAACTTTTCGTTGCTCTTCCATCATCTGATCTAGGTTGCTTTTTCTTCTCCAACAGGAATGTTCCACAACATATTGCTATTGGCACCTGGAGGCCGTACTGTGTACCAAGGCTCAGTCCCTGATGCAGAGACCTACTTTGCGTCCCTGGGATTCGTCATCCCGGAACACGCCAACCCAGCAGATTTCTACATGGATGTCATTGGCGGTGCTACAGGCGGCAACTTCTCTCATGATCCGGAGAAGCTACCGCATTACTGGATCGAGAAACGGGACAGCTTTGGGGCGACTAGCGTCAAAGTGGCGATGGCCGGATCATGCGGAGATTGTGGCAAAGAATTCCGCAGTGAGGGACATTTATGTATTTTCGTTGTAGTGTCTTGCTATCGTTATGAACATCATCCTTATTATGATGGATCATCAATTATGATCAGCAACAGCAACAACATCAACTTCATCATCAAAGGCAATGACGACGAGAAATCATAAATGATTAAAGTCAATGGTTATAACCAATTTTCCTAGAATTCACCTTTATATGACAGCATTGTTAGTGTTAACATGGAGATACACACAACTTCCCTGGCTTTGCTCTACCCTCAGATATACACCAATAATAACTGTTCGCTCTTTTGATAGTTGTCATTTACAAATGTAGGCCTCTGATCCGCATGTTTTACTTAAGATTACACATGTTTTATCCTAGATGCTATGATTACTGTAAAAGACATTCTTTGCTCTTTTTCAGTATCAGACCGTCCCGAACCCAACATGTTTAGCCAGTTCTTCAGCTTTCTCATTCGGGAGTTCATTCTTCAATTTCGCCAAATCAAAACAGTTCTTCTCGACACATTCCTTGTTCTTCTGGCTGGTGGTGTTCTTGGGAGCTTATACAGAGAGGTTGGTTTTTATGAATGAAGAATTGCTTGAGACAACCCTGATTTATGATATTTGTCATTAAAGTATATCTTTTCATCAAGACTTCGTGAGGTTTCTTATCATTGGCGGATGAGGAAAACTGTAAGCTAAAATTGTATAGCTCTCTATACAGGGCCATACTTTTAAGCACAGACTATTAGTTATTGCCACAAGCTTAAAATAATGATTACCTTCAGATAATAAGTATGCGTTTATTGCCGGTTGTCATTGTTTAGATGCAATAATAGTACCAATGTTGCATACCCAAACTCTCCCCTTTCAATGCTTACTCTCCATTTTATGTTCTTCTTCAGTTTCAAAGCTTGTTGGTAACCCAATTCCTATATCCCTTAGACAAAACAAGGTGTTTTGGTTTTAACGAAATTTTGTATGAAAGTAATGGTATGGGGGAAGAGTTTGGTAAATGTTATGCTTTGTACCCTGAGGCTTAGAAGTGAATGACGAAACAATGTTACATTTAAATCTTCTCTTTGCTACGTCTTTCAGGTTAAACTCAATCAGTTCCTCACAATGACAACAATGAGCGGTATGGGCATTGGTCTAGTGGCATGCATTCCAGCACTGCGTGTCTTTGGACAGTTGCGCCCAGTGTTTTGGAGGTCAGAGTCTTGGAGAATTTTTGCAATATGATAATCTAGATCCAACATATCTTTCATTCCAGGCATGATTAAGAGTTTCTTCTTGCAATCAAATTGGATTTTATATTGCTCAATTGAGACGGCGTAGTAGAAGAGGGAGGGAGGGAGAAAAAGAGGGCAAGAGGAAGGAAGGAGGGAGGGAGGGAGAAAAGGAGGGAAAGAGGAAGGAAGGGAGGGAGGGAGGGAGAAAAGGAGGGCAAGAGGAAGGAAGGAGGGAGGGAGGGAGAAAAGGAGGGAAAGAGGAAGGAAGGGAGGGAGGGGTTATGGTGTTTAAATTTAGTAGAATATGCTAAATCTACCTTTTATTTTCCTCAAACTTTGCTTTGCATTATATTTCCAGAAATCCTCTTGACTTGTTTTAGACCAAGTAAAGTATGTTTTGGTTCACCAAGTCATGAATCTGTTTGGCCTCAAGAATGGAAGGGCGTGCCCAAGAGTAGAATACGTAGACAACTTTTTCTCCTGCTACTTATACATATATAGCACTAAGCGATCGCAGCTGAGCTCGAGTACCCTTCCCAAGATGCAGTACATCAATAGGCCTCAAGTAAAGAAGTGTTACTTAAGAAGTAATTGTGTTGACACGATACACTCGCAGTAGAGATTATTTATGTCTCTTGGTAAACCATAGAAAAAAATGATTTATAGTGAAAGAGTGTAGAAAATTTGGCATATGCAGCTGTTTTTGTTTTGTTTCAGAGAGGCAAGTGTTGGGATCAATAGGTTCAGTTACTTCATGGCGGGAAATGTCTCCCAATTACCACAGATTGCTCTGATGCCCATCATTTATCTCTCCTTACAGTACACTTTCACGGCTCCTCGAGGTTTGTAACGCATTATTCAAATTTTCTTGGCTTTGCAAGGGTCTAGAGAAGCTCATGCAACCTACAAAACGATATTATGCATACAGAGATTTTAGCAAAATGCTCAATAAGAAATATCAAAGTTTTTCAATTGGCTTACCTTCAGTAATTGGTGAAAATATATATATTAGTGTTAGGAAAAGAGCAATGGATTTTCCCACTTGCTTCTTTAACAACAGCATTTTTTCTTTTTCATTTCTCTGTGAACAATATATGTGAATTCGGATTATCGAATTAGAAATGCAGTTGCCCCCCCAACCCCACTAATTTCCTTCTCTCTTTCTCATTCTTCCCAAATATGATACGAAGTCATGGGGTACATGAACTGTGGCTTTTTGCTTCTAGAACCTCCATCTAAGGCATATGGGACATAATAGAAGAGCTGTGCACCTTTTTCCAAAAATTTATCAGCTTGAATTGTGCCTTGCTTGTCACATAGGAAACATCAACTTCATCGGGACCTGACTTATTCTTGAGGATCATGTAAACGGATCATTTTATTTTCCATATTTAACCACTGTACACCAACTGCTGCTTTTCTTGCAGGGTATCTGAATGATCACTATCTTGTCTCTCTGGCTGCTTGGTTCGGTGTGTCAGGCTTTGGGTATCTCATTTCGTGTGTTTTCAACCCGCGTAATGCTCAGATGGCCACCGTTCTTTTCATACTCGTCTCTTCATTGCTTTCAGGTATGTTCTTCAAAAACAGTAGACTCTTTAATACTATTTAAATGGATAAGATTTGCAACTCCCTATGTGATATCAATTAATAAGATATTAAGTTAGCAAAGTTGAAATAATAAAATTCAAATAATCGATAGAAAACGTCGCTTGAACGTTTGAACAAAAAGCGAAATAGGACCATTTCGCTGTCACCGAGAAATCGGCTGCGGCAAGGGAGGAAAATTTAGGGATTTTAGTTCCACTATCGTAGTTCTATTATTTTATAAAATATTATTAGAGAATTCGATTCAATAAAAAGGGGGATATTTCATATACCTTTGGGTTATTCTGAGAGCATTAGGTTCATGCAGGATTATTTCTTGTATTGAGTTGATGAACGTTTAGTAAGCAATTTTCCTCTTTCGAAGACCTTAATGGATTCTATATTCTCGCTGCAAACCTTATTCCATTTCAGGCTCATCACCAACCCTTTGCAAAATGAATGACTTGAAAGTCATTGGTCCTGCTTTCTACAGCCTCTCGTACGCTCGCTGGTATGTCGAGGCCCTCTTCGAAGCTGAGGTCAAACACTATGCCGCAGTCCACCAAAACGACATCGATTATTTCGCATTTAATCGAGATTACGCGCTGGACAAATACTGGGTATGCGTTGGTGTCTTGTTTGGGTATGGTTTCGTCACAAGAATAATAGCGTTTTTGTGTTTGATTTTCATGAACAGAGGCAAGCAACAGTAACTAACTTTTTGGACACATTTTTTACTATGATATGTATAAGAAGACTTATTGTTTCTGTAAAAGTGGTATGAACTAAATAGACATCAAAGCTGTTCTTAAAAGTTGGGTGTTCCTCCAGTTTCATTACTTGTGTCATTGGTGCTTCTGGTATTATCTGAGTTTATAAGTGCCAGTATGTGGTGTAAGAGGATTTGAAATACCAATAAAAAATGGTTTTCATAGCTAACATTATTTCTTATTGAGTACTGTAAGAAATTGAAAACAATTTTGCCTAAGTTGAGATTCCTCAGGTCGTTTTTTAAGGTTTGTATTATTTGTTAGTAAATGTTCTACTTCAGTACTATAGAAACTGTTTTTTGTTGTGTTTGAATTTTTCCAGAATTTTTCATTGATGTCATTAACGTTTTGGTAAATTAAATCCCAATGTATAGTATTTCCCAGTTCAAAAATAAAAACATCCACCATAGTCAAGGTCAATCAATTAGACCACTTTATAACGTACTTCATCCTTTTATGCTTTTGTGACAAGTGATGATAAGAAAATGATTAAATTAGGTCTTAAAGAAATAACCCTCAAAAAAGCTGAGCTTGAAAGAGTAAATCGGAAATCATTGATTGATGATGATCTTGTTTTCTTAAGACTGTCAATACGTTGCAAGTAAATATTTTTCGTTCATAAATAGTTCAAAAGGTTACAAGTAATGATGCAATCCCAGAGCATTATGATCGTACCAGGCCGTTTCATTTCTGGTCAAAGTGTGGGTTATGTATATGCAGGATATTTTTAGAAGTCATATATTATGCTGGCTCACAAACTGATCTCCCAGGCGAAGCATTTCAATGCTGCTTTTACCCGGCTGTCCCCTCAACTCTGGATACAGGAATGATGTAACATGTTTGGTACTTTAAAAGTCACAATCATGATGTGAAATATTGTGTACCGTAAAAATATCGTCGAATTGATATACAAATACTGTTAAAGCTCTGTTAAGCCCAATAGAGGCATCTTATTTTTAAATGTTCAAAGAGAAAGGGTCTCATTAGAGAAGAGGGTCTCATTAGAGAAGAGGGCTTATTAGAGAAGGGAGCTGTCTGAGACCTATTAAAAATACTTTTGTTGTTGTTATGTTTCAAAGTTTAAATGCCTTTTCAGATGCCCTGTGTCTTTCGCAATAGTGTCTAGCAATTTTTGTGAATTTTACGGTTGTTGACGGTTCTATTGTGATATAGTTGTTTGAAGGTCATGTGATCATACTTATGATTTTATTTGTTTCAGTCGTTTTGATCGTGAGAATTTCACACCTTTGTAAATTGCTTTATTAATATCACTTGGTCTCGTATTTTACTCTTGTTAGAAGGTCGGATTTCCTTTCTTGTACTTTAGATGGATTATAACACGGATTATTTGGTTTCATTTATAAAATTAGTAGTTGATGTCTGAGGATGGAAGATATCTCTTTGCTCTAGATCTGAAATTTGAACGACAGAACTCCTGGATTTTCTGAGCATTTGTGCTGGATAATTTCGAACTCATGCCAGGTCTACCCCCTTCAGGGGCCAAGAAGGGACAGGAGAGCACCCCTGTGTAACAAACCAGGCGTCATGTTTACTTAATGGTGGGTAGCAGGTCAAATGGCAGGGGCAGCAAAATTTTACTTGTACTGGCAGGGGATGGGATGTCGTATCTACTAAGTCTGTACAGTACTGAGATGTCTGTTCATAGATAGGGAAGTGTCTATCCTCTATCTTTAAAGTTTTTGCCAACCTGTTAACAAATTTAATCAAAATTTCGGAGTTCTGGGCTTTAATAAAATGCAATTGTTTCCTAATTTTTTGTTTAATTTTTCTTTTGTCCCGTGCTGGTTTCTTATCAAAGTAAATGTATTTGATTTGG